TTTGAGGATAGTTGAGTTTCATGAGGAATGATGATGACTAAGTAGTAGTAACAGTACTATTTTATGTGCTTTTTGGACATTCATTTTTAGAGGAAAAAGGAGGAAGTACTAGGATGTAATAGTACTACTACTACTACCTATTATCAGTACTACTAGTAGTACTAGTTCTTGTTGCATGATAGTAGTACTAATAATACTACCAGTAGTAGTACTAGCTAATAGTGTCTGGTATTTTCTGTCTGCTGTGAGGAACAGCATGATGGTGACCATGTTCATGCTGTCTTGGATACTACTACTAGTAGTAGTACTAGTTGTTGTAGCACTGCTAGTATACTACTATGTACTGGTACTATGTAAAAGTTCTTGCAATTGAGTTTTTTTCTGCATATTCTTAGAGAGGCTGTTTCTAGTACTACTACTAGTAGTAGTCCCATTTCAAAGTGCTTCCTCCTTTTCTCTAGTATTTCTTGTTAATTTTTGGAAATTTGTATTGGTATTCCAGCAAGATTGATTCATTTGACCATGTTTCCTTTGTCATAAAATTCACAATAAATTACCAGGTCTTTTGTGGTGCACTAGGACATTGTGAAACGTCTTTTTTGGTGCACTCCTCAAAGCTACCAGACCTATGAGGACTAGTAAGTCAACTACATTGCTGACCTGTAGTAGTTTGCACAAACCACACCTATAGAACAGTATGGTATGCACTAGCAGCTATTCAATGACAGTACCACCAGCAGTAGAAGTAGATTGCGATCATGCAGAAATAAAGACAAGAAAAGGTGTTATTGTATAGGCTTGGCCAAGCAAAAAAAGACGACCCAGTTGTACATTAGCAATGCTTGATATACATAGTACATATATAGTATCAATCAATACTTCTCAGATCCCCTACTCCCCCATGGCATTAGAAAGTTCTTTTAATTCTCTTTTTCACTATGTGCTTCTTTTCTTTATCATGTGTCTGTTGTGGTCAAAGTTACAGCCCAAACTGTCAGTTCAAGACTGAAACAGTTATGTGGTTAAATTACAAGGTGCCTGGATAACCAGCCATCTTTTAATGTGTAAAGACTAGTTAGACTCAATGGATTCCAGTCCCATAACAGACACTCATGGACACTCTGTACCTCAACTGCTATTTTTAGCTCACTAAATTAGGCCACTAATTGTGTGAACTCAGAACTTGGCAATATCCCTCCTTGATTTATTTGTTCTGTTTCCAGTTTATCAGAAGGAACTGTGTCGGAAGCATTTCTCTGCTCTTTTACACAGTGCATTGATCCTATTTCTTTTTCCTAAAATCAATCCCTTGAGGGAGAGTAACCCTGCTAAAAATGGCAGATACTTTAAAAGAAAGAAGAAGCAGCAGCAGGAAAACAACAAGCATACTGAGCACCACCAACAACAAATACTAAAAATGCCAGACTTCTTCCTTGAAGACCTCCATAAGGATGTATATCAATACAAAACAAACAGCTCTCCAGACTCAGTACCCTCACAACACACAGCAATCTGTTCTGCACCAACTGCTTCCACATAAGAAAGGGAATGGGAAACTTTGTAAGGGTGCATTGAAGGCAGCAGCGGAGGCCTTCAAAGTTTCCCGTAGAACTTGTGCAAGAATTTGGAAGTGCAATTTAGAAACTCAGGATGATGAAACATGCCCTGCAGGTGATGTGTCAAACAACAGGTCCAAGTGTGGTAGGAAGGCTAGGCCTACCTCTGATCTTGAAGGAATGAGGGATGTTCCATACAAACAAAGAGGAGATCTAAGGACCTTATCAGCAGCAATCAATATTCCAGTCACCAGTCTGCACCGTCTTGTTAAGAAACGTGGAGCAATCAAGAGATACAGCTGCACTTTGAAGCCTTTCCTAAAAGAAACAAACAAAATGGAAAGGATTTGATTTGCTCTGTCTCATATTGATCACAATGGTGTCTTTGATCCAATGTATGACAAGGTACATGTTGATGAGAAATGGTTCTTCATAAAGGAAGAAGTACTAACAAGCAACACATATCTACTTGATGAAGAGTTTGAACCAGTTGGCAAGACACCGTCAAAGCAGCATATCAAGAAGGTGATGTTTCTATGTGCAACAGCAAGGCCCAGATTTATGGTAAGAAGCTTGGTATCTGGCCTATTGTGGAGTACAGACCAGCGCAGAGATCTTCTGTGAATCGACCCAGAGGTACGATTGAACCCCACCCTATTAATGTCAATGAAGAAGTGTACAGGAAGCTCATGATTGAAAAAGTTCTACCAGCTATTTACAAGAAGTTCCCCAGAGACAACGGTGTTCTTCCAAGTTGTGTAATATAGGAAGACAATGCTAAGCCTCATACGCTCAACACCAGAGCAGCTGTGACAGCTGCAGCTCGTGAGAGGAACTGGAATATTGTTGTGAAGGCCCAAGCACCTAACAGTCCTGACTTTGATGTTCTTGATTTGGGTTTCTTCAATTCTATCCAGAGCCTTCAGCATAAGAAGTGGTCTTCGAACATGGTGGACACATTCTTGATTGCCAATGTGGTGATTGCTGCATTTGAAGAACAATCCAAACGTGAGACTCTAAACAATATATTTTTGTCACTACAGTGTGCAATGGAGTCACTTGGTGTTGGTGGTGACAAGACTTACAAGATTCCACACCTTGGGAAAGAAAAGCTTACTCGTCAAGGGGAGCTTCCGGTACTACTATCAATCACTTGTTGCGACCCAGAAAAGATTCTTGCCTTTGCATGTTCAGTACTGGTAGACTTCAACAACAGTACCAATACTAGTGCTGTATTGGTACCAATAGTAGTAGTAATAGTGCTAATACTCTTAAATACAAATGATAATACAATAGTTGTAGTACATTTAGTACATTTAGTACTTATTCTACACATTCTATAGGGCCATTCCATACTGGACAATTATTTTGGAAAAAATAGAGTACTGCATATTGACCTATTATTCTGGAACGGAGGTAGTAGTACGTAACGTGGGAAGGTTCGTACGTTCTACGATACACTATCACTAGAGTGTTCCATAGTGAAATTGCAGTGACATTTCTGTTTTGAATACGTACGAGTACAGTACTGGGTACTCGTACAACGTTGAACTTTCGTGCATTGTCTGCTACGTACTCGGACGTAGTCCATTACAGTAATTATTTTTATTGAATGGGAATTCCACGCTACGCCGCACGTTGTGTTCGGACTAAGAGCTACAGTAAATGTTCTTGCATGCAAATGCATCGATTCGTAATTTCCAATCTCAACTTCGAAATCCTACTTCCGAACTAATTAATTGTATTATAGCCTCATTCAAAGTTCTAGAAGTTGTTCTCTCGTCGGATATCCACTTAACCAAGTCCTTATGATTACTTAACGCACTGAATACGGCTAGAAATAGGGGATGTCATTACCAGTTCGCTCGGAATTGCAACCACCTCAATCAGCTCATGAGAATTATTATTTGGTGCGAGATAAATAAAATTCTGTTTGCTTTCGAGTTCGACAGACGGATCTCAGGAGACTACTTCCGTACCGTCCAGCAGCGCGGAACATATCTGTAATCATCTGGTTGTCATCCGTGCACTTTCTATTATTATTTTGTTGTTTCATATCCCACGCACGAAAGATTATCGCAGGATCGTTCAGGGATATCGCGATTGTCTTTTTTCTTCACATCTAGTTTTGGGTTTGTCCTGCCCTCTTCAGCTTCTAACATCTTATTCATTAAATTCCGAATGCAAATAGGGTCTTTTAATTGAAATTTGCTGCTGAATTCCTCAATCAGAAGTTAGCTTACACTGGACACACCGGATAGGAACGAAGATGACAGGACGTGTCATTGATATAGGAATTGTACACATGGATTTTGACGCAGACTGTATGGCCAGTGGTCCTTGTTCGGAAAAGGAGATTCGTCCTGAAATGGACGTTTCAGACATTCACCCGAATGGCAATGGAGAGCATGCAAGCGACAGTGTGAAGAAGATGAACGGCAGCTTTTTGGAAACTTCTAAGTTGTCCGTGTTGGCTCTTGCCGATACAACAGTTTTAGCCGAAGATATTTCTGACTGTGACCTCGAAGACGACGAATCGCCTGGTATCGAAGACGAAGATGCTGAAAGGTTTCAGGTGCGTGAAGTCCCTGACGCCAAAAGATTGTCTTCGAGTGATCCCGGGAAACTGAAATCTGATGCAAACACCGCGAACCTCGATGGCGGCGATCGAGGAACAAGGTCTTGCATGAAAAATGAGCAAACGGCCAAATCGAGCAAGGGCAGACGACTGGGCTTCGCGACGTTGACTGTACGGGAGTATCCACGAGTCCTGGGGGACAACGTCTGCATGATAGGCGCGCCCATAAGCCTCGCCTGGGAACACGATCCCGAAAATGTCCAAATTTATGACCTTGTAGAATACGATGAGGCAGTTAAGAGCACGAGGCGGACTCAAACAGAACTAAAAATGCCCAGCAAGCATCGCGAAAAACTTTTGCGAGAGATGGGATATACTGGAAGAGAAATACAGGAAGCGGTCAAGAAATCAAACATAGCTAGGAACCATCGAAAACGAACGGTAGAGATGTTAAAGATGCAACCTCTTCACGAAGCATTCGAAAAACTAGGCAGGTTTGGAAAGAAGGTTTCGGGGCGCAAAAAAGATGACATCTTGAATTACAAGAAGTCAATATGAAACGCGGAAAGCGCGTAACTAGATACATGAATAGACACCTGCTAATTGGTACCGTATTAAAATATACCAGTGCAAAATGCATATCCTACGTTAACTGTTTGCGGTGATCTTAGTGTAGTTGTTTCACAAATGCAACGTGAACCAAGGCCGAAAAATTCTGCGATCATCCCTTCATATTACTACAAACACAACGTTTTGCATGCTATCAATAAAAAAWTTTAATGATCTTACGCTCCGTTGCAGAACTGGAAGTTTCCAATTCTTTCTTTCTCTAGGKTGTGAAATTTGAAATTGTACCAGGGATCATGAGGAAAGCCATAATCGCACGCACTACCAGGGGTGAACAGCTTACTCTTCCACCATCGTCATTTTTATCATCGCAGGGCCGATGGGACAGATCCGTACGGTATCGCAGCGAAAAAACCGTGAAAAGAGGAAACCGTTTTAGAAACTCTGAAGGGGATGTCTCCGTGTTAGCAACCCGTGTATCGGTATAATTTACTGGAAGGTATTTCAAGCCATCGAAACGGGGCCGGATTGCTTCCGATCTATGGTCAGAACTTTTGTCCCCTACACAAGACTAAAAACATAACCGTACAGTACGTGAAAAGTCGTAAATGTGAAAACAATAGATCATTGTCAAATGTTGGACGGAGACATAAGAACGATAGTTCAGGGATGGCGAACAATTCTTCTTTGTCAATCCTTCTCAGAGTTAAACACGGAGAAAGGAAGTTTTTTTTAGTTTGTACGTAGTAATTTCTTAACGAGATTGCGAAAATGGCATACATAAAATGCGTTTAAATTTTTTCCATTGGGACCTTCTCAAATATAGAAGAACATAAAAATAAAAATTCATAGGACTGGAATGATAGAACGATAAAAGGAGTATACTTTCTGTCTGATCCCCATGACTCGCCTCGTAATTCTGTTTTTCCATTTAAACTTCAAAGTTGATCTTCGTATTGGTTCTACCTACAAACSGCGATTGTTCCATATTCTTCTGATACGGAATTGATAAGTACGCACGTATCGATCACCCAAAGTATTGCATGCACGAACGGGTSACAAAGATGCAAATGCAACAAGCTGTTCTTTGTGTTCTTTTCGCGAACTCCCGAGTAAGGAAGAATATGGTAGGGAACCGTACTACGGGGTAGTTACGGTAGGACGGTGTCGGATGCCAACGGACGGCAGGCACGTGCGTGATGCATTCCTTTTGTGAGCCAGTAACACGTAAATCACGTAGATCACGAGTAGATAGTGAGTGAATAATCACCACGCTCACTCTTTAATTTAAACATCCCTTTATGTGACACTAAGGAGCATACGTACACTTTGCAGGTTATGAGCCTTGGTTGCTGGGACCGTATATACGACTTACAAGTACCTAGCATACATGCGAGCATACCGATCTTACGTATGGTAAGGAACATGGAAGGAACGCGGCGGGGGATTTTTTTTCATCGATCCTTCTGCTCCAGAACAAATCATCTGTTCCATTCGCCTTCTCTTCTCGAACCCGTGGCTTGCGGCGCCAAAGGCAAGCCAAAGCAAGGCCCGAGCAAAACGATGCACTGCACTACGCTACGCTACGGATACCAGCACCATTCCGAGAACGCCAGGTTTGCTTGGGCGGACGGGGGTTCGGCGATGCATCGCACGGCTGCGCATCACGCGGTGTGTGTACAAGTGCGGTACGGGTATCCTACTAGACACAAGCAACAGACGGCATTCCTACCTACTACGGCACGAACTGGTACCATACTGTACGAAACGTTTTTTCTTTTTTCTTTTTACAATCCACAAAACTACCCGGCAGGGTGCGACGGCACGGCGTCGCCACCGCACGCAAACCCTTCCGGCCATCATTCCCGTGCCGCGCCGGATAACCTTCCATTCCACCCGGGAGGAGGAGATCCGTTCCGTTCCGTTTCCCTAGTACACGGTTGCTTTCGCGTCGGGAACCCCCGGGTCCTTTTCGCCGTCCTTCTTGCCCCTGCCCCGTCCAAACCACCGCTTGGTCTTGGCGGCGGGCGGGGTTCCGGTCTTGGGGGCGGCCGCGGCGTCGTCCTTCTTGGACTGCGGCGGCATCACGGGCGGGGGCAGAACCTCTCCCTCGACCACGGCCTCCGCCTGGACGACCTCGCTCTCGTCGTCGTCGTCGTCCTTGCGGTCGATGGGGATCCCCTCCGCCGAGTAGGTCCTCGGCGGTCCGGTGTCCGGTGGGGCCCCGGTGCCCGGTGTGCCTTCGCYGGAAGGCTTCGACGGGCGCTTCGTGCTCTGCCTTCCCGCTTCCGCCGCGGCAAAGGCTTCRTCGTCCGCCGCGTAGTCCTTCTTGTCGCAGCAGCTCGCGCAGCAGACGGTGCAGGAGAGGACCGTCGGGCCGGCAAAGAGGTAGAACCAGCCGAGCCCCAGGACCGCGGACACCCGGTCCCGGGCGTCGCTCCCGCAGCCCCCGGCGCTCCCGTAGTCCTCGGCAAAGTACCCGTTGATGGACCGGCTCGAGCCCACGCAGAGCCACGAAAAGTAAAAGATTGCCACCAGGAGGTACGCGGCGATCCACGGATCGTGGCAGAGCAGGTACCCGATCCGCTCCGTGGCCCGGTGCCTGTGCCGGAGGGCCTCGTCGGTGGCGTTCCCGGTCCTGGCCGCGAGGTARAATCCCGCGGCCAGGTGGGAGAGGCCCGCCACCAGCATCCCCAGGAGCCACCGGCTCGCCCGGCAGCTCCCCAGGCCGCCCAGCTCCATCGCGGAGAGGACGACGACCGGGAGCTGGACCAGCACCGTGGTCACCACAAAGGACGAGAGGGGGTTCGAACACGAGAGGCCCGAGCAGGCCTTGCAGGGCGCCGTGCAGAGGCACTCGAAAAAGGCCCCGATGGG